AGCAATATTCTCCACTCAAGGAACTATCAACCTACTTCTTCCATCTGATTTAAAAGAACAGAAAAAAGTCTCTTCTGTCTTCCCACATGGCCATGTAAACAGCTAAAGTCAAATGAATACATAAATCATTCTTGCAGGCCACTCTTCCTGTTCTACCATGTCCTGGTGCCGCCCAGGTCCTTCCTACAGTTCTTGTTTATGCTCTATCAGAGACATGAAACCCTGGGCAGGGATCCTTTCTCAAAGCTCAGACACAATAAAATATTAAATATGGCAAGTCAATAGCACAGTGCAGAATGCCTAAGCAACTCCCAGGAGAGGCCTAAGTATCTAAATCCATACCCCAGTCTCAAGACACAAATGCCCTTACAAATGCCCATTATTTTACCTAACCGAAGGAACGCTTCACTGGAAAAATCAATTACTTACTCAGAATTTTCTGTGAGTAAGATTACAGAGGGAAATGAAGCATCTGCCATATGTCAGGTTCAAGGCAAAAATTTAGCCAAGTGAAAACTAAAGGAAGCAGACCTTGACTCAACAGAAAGATCTGGGAATTAAATCTGCCCAGGAATGACAGCACTGATGAGGGGCATGGAGTGTGCAAGCTGCTGCCTCTTTGTGGTACACAATTTGCCCATGTACGTGTGCGCGTACATGTTCACATATATACTGTCGTATAAAGTCCCATCCTTCTATGCAGCAATTCATTTTGTGTTCCTCAAGGGTCTTGTCCTCTCTCATCTTCCTAATTCTCATTCCACCTTTACCTCAATTCCTGGGTTGCTAGCTATATTCCCCGCAGCCTGTAAGCCCAGTAGAGCAAAACCACCTTGCCCACACTCTCCAGAGAATCACAGGCACCAAGCACCTATCTGATCCCAAACATTCCAAAGAGACAGACTTTGGGGGTTGCATGCGTCCTCAAACATTTAAGACCACAGATGTTCCAATTTTTTTAAACACTGAAAAATCAGAACCGTTTAAATATCTAATCAAGAATTGGGTTAGTAAACTCTGCTACAGCCATAAGGTTAAATGGTATAGAGCTGTTGGAACTGGAAGGGAAATTACTCAAAGAAAAAGACAGATACCAGATGGTTCTACTTATGTGTGGAATACAGAGAAACCAAACAAAGGATCAGATAAAGACAAGCTTACAAACTAAGCAGTGAAAGCGACTACAGAAGTGAAGCTTCAGGGGGGAGGGCGAGAACACAGGAGGGACAGCGCACAATGGGCCACAGTGGGGGACCATGCGTAATGTAGGGTGCATTTTAGTGATTCCACCTGGAGGGGGATTCTATATTTGCAAAATCCAGCAATAAGCCAACATTACCTCAATTAAAACAAAAACCTCAAGAGCTATGTTGTATCATTTTGATTTCTGAATGCTCCCGGAGCCCCAACTGGACTAGGGCCTCTCTGGGACGACTCCCTCCCAGGACGAGCAGACCTGTGCCCCAAGTCCCCACCCCACCCACTCCTCAGAAGCCAATCTAGTGGAGACAAACATTTGAATATTCCCATCAAAGGCCCTGAATCCATGGTGAGATCAACTCTTTTGCCTGGGGTGGGCAAGAAGAGAGAAGTTGGGGATAAAGGAGAGAAAGGAGGAGGAAGAGCAGTGCAGCAGCACACCTGTCCTCTCTGCTCTTGAGGGCCAGGTAAGGGGAGGAGACCAGGTGAGACACTAAGCTGGAATAGGAGGACATCTGCGTGCACTCAGCTTATAGCCTGCCTGCTTCCAGCTCCCAGACACCTCTGAGGACTGTGGAGAGCCAGTGCCATCTGAAGACTAGCCTCAACACCGTGGGCGAGCCTGAGGCCAGGGTCTGGGAAGGCACTAAGGAGCTCGAGGGGCCAGACAGCTTAGTCTCTGGGCAGCAGTGAAGGCTGCTTACTGCTGGCTCTCTGCTCATTCAGTATTTAAAAAAAAAAAAAAAAAAAGCAGCTGGAAATAAAATGTTAAGGCAGTTTCTTTAGGGTGTTAACACCCACCCCCAATCTTGCAGATTGTTGGCTGCCTCAGTACAGTGAACTTTAAAGATTCGATTCCTGTCTCTACTTTATTGGCATTTGGTGGTGACAGTGGCCAAACTCTGGTCTTCTGGTTATACTAAGTCCAAAATGAGTTGAAAGTCACACTCATCTGGTGTGGTATATACACCTACAGAGGTGTGAAGTTGTACTCCCAAACTCTCCCAAACTAACATGTTATTGTAAACCAACAGTAAGTTCATAGATTTTTGAGTCACACATAATATTAGTGCAAATATCAATGGGTAGTATGGGATAATAACCAAGCAGGAGCAGGTGAGAAGAAATAGTACAGGGACCAAGCAAACACTCCACAGCAATAGAACAAGGTGCTCAAAGGACTGCTAGTCTGTCCTAAGAGAAAGTGAGAAAGGAAAGGAAATTTTATAAAGGCTTCAGAATCCAAAACACTATTATAAGAACATGAATTCTATATAAACAAGAGCTCAAAGATGAGATGATGAAAAACAAATGCAAAGGGAGATCAGAGACCTAGGGAAATGAGCTGCGGATCAAAATAACATGACAAGAAAATTAGTAAATAAGAGCAGTCAAGTCTGAAACAATGCTGAAAACTGAATTACTAACACAGAGGGATGGGTTATGAACAGCACAGAATGCAGCTGAAGGAGTACCAAGAAAAACAGAAATGCAAGCAACAACAGCAATCCAACAAATGTCCCTGAAGTGGAAAATCCAGTAAGTGGAACATAAAATGCATTTTTAAAATATAGTACATGCACAGAGTAAGAAATTTCCCTGAAATGATGAAAGAAATCCACTTGTATACTGAGTGCACATATCAGGTTCTTGAGAATTCAACACAATGTGCTTAATTCAGTAACATATAACTTAAGTTACTAAACTTAACAGTAACAACAGATATAGTTCAAAAAGCCCATCACAGCAAAGGGGAGACTTCTCTCAGGTCATACTGAACAGACACTGGAGCATGGCCAGAGATTACAGCACCCAGCCAAGGAGTCATTCAATCCAAAAGCAAGGGACAAACATTTGCAAATATCTGACATTACTGGGGTTAGAAAATAAGAATCTAGGCAATTCAGAGAGAGGTCAAAAAAGATTCTGCACTGGAAAAGCCATACCTGAGTGAAAGCATTAAGTCAATTTAAGTAAAGACCTGAAAAACAATGATGGAAAGCCTGGTAACAGAACAGAATGGAATTATAATGTACAATTAGTAATAAAATCTTGAAGTGAGAGATTGGGCTTCTAGTTACAGTAGAAGTAAAGGAGATGTACTATAGGGGCAACTATAATGTATTAAAATTTTGAAAGTTGGGCCCTCCTTGGTGGCACAACTAGTAAAAGCGCGGGACTATCATAGCCACTGCAGCACGAGTTCGACCCCCAGTCAGGGAGCTGACCCACATGGCGCAGCAGACCTCTCCTCTCTCGCCCACTGCTCCCCTCAGCAGTGTACTTTGTCAGTCTGCCTGTTCAGCTTCCCACTCCTGTCTCTCTCTGGTGAGTCCTCTCACTGCCCAGTTCTGTATGCATAAACAAATAAATCTTAAAAATTTCAAAGTTGCTAAGAGACTGACATCACTTCACAATGTATACAAGTATGGATTGTTGTGCTGTACACCTGAGGCTAAAATAATGTTGTACTTCAATTAAAAATAATAAAACTTAGGATAAGAATTAAATGAACATATTCAGAATCAAAAAACATTGTTTTTGAAAAGCCATAACTCTAGCCTTGTAATACTTACAAAATCTCTTCCCTTAACCTTAGTTGAACCTTACAGAAAATAGCCTCTTGTGCTAAAGAAACACTTATTTGAAATTTAACGTTTCTTTGATTTCACTCTAGCCTCCTTTATTGAAAGTAAAACTACTATTTTTATCATGAGGTAGCATTTTCAGACAAATGTTTGCAAAGGTACTTCTATTCATATTTATAACTCCTCTTACCTGTCCAATTGCATTAGGAAGTTGTCTGGAATGATGTGTACCATTGTGACTGGAAGTTACAAGGACATGGGTAAGAGATTTTTTTGTACTTTCCCTATTCAACTGATTTCTCTATAGTGAGCACACATTTTGTCATTTTATGCAAATAAAATGTCATAGTTTAAAAAAAAAATTGGATGGGAGGAATGCCAAGATGTTAACAGTGGTTAGCTGTCACAAACAACGGAATGCATGACAATCTTCTTATTTATAGTTTTCCATATTTTTCTTTAGAAGAAGCAATCCAATGTTATTAAAGAATGTAATATATTGTTGAAAGTTTATTAATAGCCGAGTTTACAGTCAGGGTTAGGTTGGAAGAAAAATAAAAGCCAAAAAATTGAAAACCTCAGAGTCACTAGCACTGGATAAAGGGTTACAGGTGATTTCTTTGTCCTTCTTTCTTACCTATATCTTTAATTTATGGAATGTGAACATGTACTACTTATAGAATTGAAAAGTCACATCTTGGTTTTGTTTTTTTAATGCAAGGGGCTGCTCAGGATATAAAGATTCCCAGCCTCAAGGTACAGAAGTGAGATTAGATGGTGTCTGTGAGAGTAAACTCAGATGGAGATGATAAAGGTAATTTCTAAATTCCCTTGGGGCCCAGCAGTCCAGTGATTCCCTCAGTAGGTAAGAACTGCCCTGTCAGATCAGTCCCCAGACACGGCCCTCAGACCAGTGCACATGCATCCAGGGATACATCTGTGCAACACCAGATTAAGAAGGAAACGAAGGCACCCACAGTGAGCAGTCTACAGCACCCTGAACAACACACCCCTCAAAAGCCTTCCATGCCCAAGCTTAGTGGTCACAACAGTTGCTCTATGTGCTTTTTGATGTTGTTTATTTTTTTTTTTTAAAGAGCTCGTGTAAGCAGATGAGATTCTAAAGAGTTACCTTCAAGCGCCACCAACATGCAGATACTCAGCATGCTCAAACCGTAAGGTGTTGAATATTCCAACTGGAACAAAACTCACCCGTAGCTATGGCCCAGTAAACGTCTGATCCACTCAGTAACTCACCACATGCGATGGGAGAATAAACCTGGGACCCAGGAACTTGGAGCAGAATTCGAAATGGAGCAACCCGGGCATTGGAATCCAGCACTGCGTCCAGCGCTCCTACCAGGCGACCTTCAAAAGAGAAGACAGTGGAGCTGAGACAGGATCTGACCGGGTCAGTGCCATGTCTGCCTGCGCCATGCACGAAGCAGTGTGGTCCGCGTCTGTACCTGACACAGGTGGGCCAACCTGCGTCCCGTTCTCCTGCTCACCTGTCAAGAGCCAGAGTTCCTTGAGGCCAAGGGCTCTGGCTGCCTGTATCCATTTCCCAGCATTTGAAACAGGGCCTGGCATTTGCCCGCACTCAGCACAGACATGCAAAAATCAACAAGTAGATGTGTTTGCATGCCTCAGCAGCACCACACAGGACTAGTAGGTAAGAACTGGAGAGTCATGAGCCCCACCTTTGAGCTGGGGCAAATGAGCTAACTTCCCAGTGCCTGGTTTCTTCTTTTGTAAATATATAGTTAACTACAGTACACCTACTTGATACGGTAATTTTTAGAATTAAATGAGTTAATGTATTCACCATTCAAAGTGCTTAGAGTACTGCGTGGTCACAGAAGTAAATGTAAAAATATTGCTTATTATTTTACCATCATCTCAAGAAGACTCATCCCTATTCCAGAAGTGCTATGAAAAGCATATTTAAAAATATATCAAAGTCTTTCACAGACCATAAGGCACACAAAGTAAAGGTTTATCATTCTGTTATAGCAGTATTGTGATTCATAGGAGAGAAACAAAACAAAAACACTGCTCATTCCCGATCTTTTATTAGCTAGAATCAACATGGCTGAGATTAAATCCCTTCACCTCTTTCCACATAACTCTTAAATCATTGAGTCTGAAAAAGCCACATGTTGCCTAAGCAACTAATGTTTTTTAAACAAACATATAAAAAAAGACAATTGCAAAATTAGGAAGTAAATTACTAATTAACACCCTATCACCTCCCAGATATGGCACTGTGCAAACAAGGATATCCACCTAGACAGCCACAATGCAACCTCAGACCCATTCAAAAGTCACCAATAGTGCAGTACTGTCTTTAGGTACAATGGACCCAGCTTGTGACTTTAATACAGAATCTGAGCAGAGGCTGAGCAGTTTGGGGTGGGGTGCCAAGGATAGAGTAGTGATCTATTTATTTCAAGAGTGACCAAGTAACAAAGACTAGGGGGAGGGGCTTGATGAGAAGCTGCTGAAGATTAAGAAAAGGGCTTTAAAACCCCCACCCATCCCACATACATACACTTGGCACTTCCACTGAAGTTATAGAATTTGTACCTAGTTTGGTAAAGGAAAAAACCAAGCAACAAAAGAAGGAAGCGGGGAGGGCGTGCAGTAACTCAGAGTAGCCACCCTGCAGAAGCAATCTATCTGGCGGGAAGGGTGATTGTTTTCTTCAAGACAGGCGCTTCTGCAATGGGTGGGACATTTTGTGCCAACATAACCAATACAGTCCTTCCAACTGGGGGGAGATGGCGAGAGCACAATTAAAAAGCAGTGAGGGGACCTCCAGTATCAACTCCAACACAGAGTTAAGAAGTCAGCACTCCCACCCTAACAAGAAAACATTGAGAAACTGACAATCGGTGGCTTTCCTGGGCTCCGTCAGAGAACTACAATCACTGGTTAAATCTTAACCTGAAATCTGGAGAGACAGGAGAATCCTGAGTGCAGCAAGAGCAGTCACCTAAAGCAGCAGTAGCTGGAGTAAACTGGTAGGTGGAAGCAAACTAACTTCAGTGAGAAACTTCTGATGACCTGTCTTGGGTACAAGTCTCACCATGAGGAACTGACCAAGTTTTCACTCCAAGCCACAGAATACCCCCTCAAGGCTCTCCCAGGAGAAGGGAGGGGTCACCCTAGTGCAAAGAGGTATTCTCCCCGACAAAGGTGCCTCTCCAGAGGAAAAACCTTTGGTTGTTTTATCCCAGACTGGGGAAGGGCATTTCTTGGACTCCTCCCCTGTGTGTAGTCTTCCTGTCTCACCTAAATGGGGGAAAGGGGAGCAATTAAACACTCCTAAGAGCACAGGCCCACTGAGATTCACTGATAAGATTACAGAATGCTTTCCCTGCCCCAAACTTTAACCGCCTTAAGAACAGGCTCCAGAAAGTGACAGTCGGCAGCTGAGAGAGGCTGTGGGAGTCAGACTCTATCGAGGAGTTAAGGAACCCCAAAGGCAAAAACGAAAACCCAAACAAGGAAACCTAAGGCTCCGAACCCAGCTAGCACCTGTAACTACAACAAATATTAAACACAGCCAAGTCCTTGTCAGAATAATAAAAAACATATTAAATTTTACTTGATACAAGAAAAATGGAAACTAATAATTATAAATGTGATGATATAGAAAGAGAAAGTTCTGTGTTTCCTGCCCTGCCAGAGGAGGAGTAGAGCTGAGTAGCAGGAGAAGCTTGCGAGGCCACGGGTCAGGAGGCCTGGAGGCGCACAGGGCAGAGAAACAGGTGAGCAGCAGCTGACCTGCCTTGGACCTACACCGGAGACATGGAAGGAGACACCTGAAAGAGACACGTGGATGAGAGACCTGAGGGGAGGCCAACAAAGGCAGCCTGATCTTGACGTGGATTTTGGTCCTCCTTTCCAGGCCTGGCTGGCCCCTTTAGCCATTCCTACAGCTCCCCAACAGAAGGTATTGTTTGGGTATTCCTTTTTGTCTTTGGGGTTCTTTAACTCCTCGATGGAGTCTGACTCCTACAGCCTCTCTCAGCTGTTGCCTACTGCCATTTTCTGCAGCCTGTTCTTAAAGTGGTTAGTTTTGGGGCAGGGGAAGCATGCTGTAATCTTATCAGAGAATCTCAGTGGGTCTGTGCTCTGAGGGGGATTTATGGCAGGTTCTAGGGCCTCGTTGCCCCTCTTTGGGCCGATCCTGTTTGATTGGACGTTTACCCTCAAGGGGATGGGTAACTTTGGGTGTTTCACTGGAAAACTTTATCCTTTCTTCTCTCTCTCTCTTGCAAGCTAATTCTATTAAAGTTCTTTTCTATTTATGGTCCTCTACATAGGGTATGTTTTGTCTTCACGAAGCCAAAGGCAAAAGCCTTTTAAAGCAGGCAGGTTTGGAGAGCTGGAATATCCCTCACTCTGCCTACTGACATAACCAGGGAAAAAGAACCACTAGAAATAAATACCTAACAAATGAAGAATGCATTTTGTGAGCTCATTAGTAAACTGGACATTGCTAAGGTGAACCTGTAGAAAGGTCAATAGGAATCTCCAAAACTGGCCCTCCCTTGGTGGCGCAGAGGTTAAAATCACCTATTGCCAGCCACTGCATCACCCCCAGGGAGCTGCCCCACATGGTACAGCAGACCTCTCTTGTCTAGCCCCTTGCTCCCCTGAGCAGTGTATTTCAACAGATCTGCTATTCTGCTCCACCACTGTCTGATGAATCCTCTCACCCTCCCACCCCCTCAGGTGGGCCTATACCCAGTTCTTGCATGCATGAATAAATAAATCTTAAATAAAACCTCCAAAACTGAAATACAAAGAGAAAAGGCTGAAAAAAGCACAAAGAACATACTAGAACTGTGGAACAATTTCAACAAGTTACATATAATTGGAAAAATCAAAAAGAGAAAAATTACCTGAAGTTATATAGACAGACTTTTCCAGAACTAATTACAAAGATAAGACCATAGACACAGGAAGCTCAGAGAACATTAAGTAGTTTAAATATCAAAAATGTATACCTGTTGGGGTATCATGTTCAAATTGCAGAAAAGACAAAAAGGAAATTTTTGAAAGAAATCGGAGGAAGGAAAAACTAACTTGTCTACAAAGACATGAAGAATTATAAGTGACTTCTCATGAAAGCCACTCAAACAGGAAAAGGAAATTAAATATTCAAATTGTTGAAAGAAAACGAACCTAGAAATCCATAGCCAATAAAATTATTCTTCAAAAGGAGAAATTTTTTAAAAGTAAAGAAATAAAGGCATCCTTAGACAAAAACACCATAGATTTAACCAGTAATAAATGTGCAAAGAAGTTCCTCAGAGAGTAGGAAAAACATAGTCAGCAATCATATTATAGAAACACAAGTGTGTTGGAAAAGTAAAAGTAAAATACAATCTTTTCATTTATCTGAAAGATAACTGTTTATAGTAATAATAAAATGCACTGGGTAATTATAACATACAGAAAAGGAAATGACAGCATTGGCACAAAGGATGAGAGGGAAAACATCAAAGCAGCCCAAGATACCTCACTTTATTTTAAGCAGCCCAGTGCTATTTGAAGGCAGACAGATTCATTTAAAAATGTACATTGTAAACTCAGGGAAATTATTACAAAAAAAATTGTTTAACAAAGTATTTTAAAAGGAAGCATAAAATATTCCATTACAAACACAGAAGCCAGAAAAGCTTAAAATAAATACACAAGTGTGAACAGTAATCTTTGTCAATCACTTATCACAAAAATTATTGGGCTTTATAGGGTTAAAAGCTCAACCTCTTCCTTTTGTTGCTGATGAGAATGGGAAGTTTTAAACAGGAAGGGGAATGCTGAAGAAGCCAGGGATAATGGCCCCAGGACCTTGGGCCAATGGGAACCCACAGACTTACTGACACAAGGCCATATGCCCACCTGTGGCCATTACAGGCTGATGAGAGTGCTGGCGGGATACAGGAGGTAATTAAAGCCTGATACTTCAGTAGACCGCAGCTAGGACAGACTTTGGTTCTAAATCTTTAGAGACAGCTTGCACACTCAGTATAAAAAAGAACCCAAAACACCTGTCCCTGGTCAGGGAACGCATTCTCCTCTTGTCCTGTCTCTGCTTCTCTGCAGAAATTTAATTAATCTGCCTTGTCCACTTTCCATACTTTCTCTGGTGAATGAATGTCTTCATCACCCCAGAACCCTGTGTCCCTTCACTTGTCCATCTCCTTCACACAGCAATAATCACAAATGTGAATGACCTAAACACGCTAAAAGACCAGGATTTCAGGCTGGATTTAAAAATTAAAAAAAAAAAAAAGTCCAGTTGTATGCTGTCAATGGGTAAACCCTCCTTACTCGCACTGACATAGGTTAAC